CTCCTGCAGAAACAAAAGTCAGGAAAGGAACTTCAAAGAAGACAAATCTCCCACTCCCAGCTCCCTCGGTAACCTCCCTAGCAACAGACTTTTACCTAGGTAGAAGCCCCACAGTGGGGCAGGTTGGAAGAACCACCTTGAAAGAGGAAGTACAAGCGCCACTATAAAGGCCACCTTGAAAAAAGGAAGTGCGCGCATATGCTGCCTCTTGAGATGTGTACTCTCATGTTTTCATGTCTAATGCTGGGATGTGTGTAGGGGCTCTCTCTGCCCTTGGAGAAGCCCGGGCTCCCTTTTGAGTAGGTCACTCTCTACTCCTCATTTTCTCTCCCTCCTGCCCCTCAAAATCTCCAAATAAAAACTGTGTAATTTCATTGCTTGTCTGCTCCTGAAATTCCTTTCTGTGAGGCGAGACAAGAACCCAGTAACCTTGGGTCCCGGGTGGCAGAGGCAGATGGGGAAAAAGTGACTGTCTTTCTCCTCCCTGATTCACATAAGTCACCCGTGGGGACACCGACATCATATGTAGTTAAGAGTGTTGATATATGCTTGCCAAAGAGGCAGGCAAGGGTGGGGATGGGAGGTGATGGGAGGGATCCTATGGATACTGGTGCTGGGAAATGAATGTACACTGGTGGAGGGATGGGTGTTAGAATACTGTATGACTGAAATTCAATCATGAATATCTTTGTAATGCTCTAAATTTTTTTTTAATTTAAAAAGAGTTAAGGAGAAGAATTTTGAACTTTTCATGGTATTTTTTCCTGTTTTTTTTTTTTCTGTTTTGGGGCCACATCCAGCAGTGCTTGGGGTACAATTTTTAGAGCCAGGGTAAGAACCAGGGTTGGCTGTGTAATCTCTGGGCAGCTAGGGAGCCCCGAGGTTCTCTCTTGTCGCCTGCATTCGTGGACTTGGGCCGCTCGCAAACGCGGGACGGCCAAGGCCATGGGTGGACGAAGGAGGAAACGAGGGCCATGCTGGTAGATAATCAGTTGCCGTTCATTCCATTCTCCCCACGTGCCTGTTCCAACCTCGCTAAGCTCCCCATTCTAGTCTCACACTGCCCCTCATTTCCGTCTCCTCCAGTCTCTCCCGCTCATCTCTCTGTTCTCCCTCTTGCAGCCGCGTTTCTCATCTCTCCACGCGCCTAATCCTGCATTCTTCCCCTACATTCTTCTCCCTCTGTCCCCCGTGCTAGTCTCTCCGCACTCCATCTTGCTGCCCTGGTCTCTCTCTCCTCTCTCCCCAACCCCCTGCATTGGGAGTAGCCAATCACACCCTGTCCCGTAGCAAAATCAACATATCAAAGGCCCTTCCTGATGCTGATCAGGCAATACCAGGAAATACCACCTAAGGGTGTTTCTCCTCTCCTTTGTCCCATAACTTAATTAACATATTAATTCTATGTCTTAATATTATTTTGTATGGACACATACACAATATGTAAGTAAGAGATACATTGAGCTTGTAGGGTGGCTCTCCTGGGGACATCTCACCACAGACTCAGACTACAGTGTCAAGCCAGATTAATCATTCCTAACCCTAGCAGGGTCCTACTCCAGTTATTACTTTTCGGATCATGACAGAATTTGTCCGTGACCATGCTCTTAACTTACAGTTAAGTATTATGGCACTTTGGCCTGGGTCCATCCAGTCCCTCTTCAGGACCCTGCTTTTGGGATGCTAGGAAGTAAGGACAACTGAGGCATCAGTCAGGGGTGAATATCATTCAGTCAATTAACTCCAAGTTATAAAAGCATAGTACTGTCTTCCTGTGTCTATACAAAAAGGACACTGCTCTGAATTAACTATGCAAAGGACTTACGAAGAGACAATTATTTACAAGTCAACAGAGCACAAAGAAAGAGGTTACAAATAAACACAGAGGAATAGGAGCACTGTGATGGGAGTGACCCAATAAACCTAAGGTCCCTGTGGCAAGGCATAAAGGACAAATGTTATCCTACAGTTGGCTACATGCAAAGCAAGTGCCTTACCTATGTACTATCTCTCCCGGTCCTTCTCTCCATTCTTATTGCAGACATTTTTTTTTCCTGCTGAACTTTTTCCTCTCCTGAAAGTGTCCAGCCTCCTCTGGGCTGGTGCCAGCACCAATTAGAGACTAATGAGGCCTCAGTTCCTCCACCTCCAAAGGGAGTTCAAGACTTCATTCTTTTGAGTTGGTGACAGAGTCACTTCTTTTCTTTGGATCATATCTTGGTTTTATATATCCCAAAATTCATCGCCTGGGGCAGCCACAAAATGCCAGAAACTAATGAAAAACTAATCTCTTAACACCTTCTTGCTTCACTGTCAAATTTCTTTTGAAATTTGAAAACCTAATGTATGTACTTCAAACAAGGCCTCAAAGTTCCCCTGTAGACAAAGTTCCAAGGTCAAAGAACAGTTCACAATCTAAAATTATAAAACCAACAAGCACAACATGACACCATCAAAGAAAGGAGCAAGTGGGGCTGGAAAGTATAGCAGGTAGGGCTCTTGCCTTGCACACAGCCAATCTGGGTTCGATCCCTGGCATCCCAGAGAGTCCCAAGTACTGCCAGGAGAAATTCCTGAGTGTAGAGCCAGAAGAGACCCCTGAGCATTGCCAGGTATTACCCCCAAACAAAACCAAAAAAAAAAAAAAAGGAAAAGGAAAAAAGTGTAGTGAACCTGCAGTTTCTCAATGTCATATATGGCAGACAGCCACAAAGTGCCAGAAACTAATGAAAAACTCATCTCTAACATTATATTTTACCAAATCTATGTGGTATTTCTGGGACCAGAGAGATAGTACAGTGAATAGGGCACTTGTCTTGCATGTTGCTGATCTGAGTTCAACCCTCAGTTTCCCATTTGGTCGCCCAAGTACCATCAAGAGGAATTCCTGAGCGCAGAGGCCGAAGTAAGACCTGAGCATCACTGGATGTAGCATCCCCCCACCAAAAAAGTTTATATTTCTTTCATTGTGGAATTTTTTTTTTTTTTGGGCTTCTTCGGTCATACCCTGCGATGCTCAGGGGTGACTCCTGGCTCTGCACTCAGGAATTACTCCTGGCGGTGCTGGGGGGACCATATGGGATGCTGGGAATCGAACCCGGGTCGGCTGTGTGCAAGGCAAATGCCCTACCCACTGTGTTATTGCTCCAGCCCCTTTACATTAATTTTTGGTTTGGGGGTTATACCTGATGCATGGGGTTTGTTTCCAGTGGTATTCAGGAACCTTGCAGGCCAGGATCAAACCCATGGTGCTCAGCTCTTTGGGCCATCGTCTTTTATTTTGGTTATTTTTTATTAATTTTGATTGTGAAGTATATATCTTGGGTTGAAGAGAGAGGGTTAAGTCCCCTAACTATAGGGTTGTCTCATTTTGAAAAAGGGAAAGAAGGGGCTGGAGCGATAGCACAACGGGCAGGGTGTTTGCCTTGCACAAGGCCAACCCGGGTTCGATTCCCAGCATCCCATATGGTCCCCTGAGCACCACCAGGAGTAACCCCTGTGCACTGCGAGGTGTGACCCAAAAAGAAAAAAAGATCTCATCCTGATGTCCCAGGCACTTCCGTAAGCACCTGCAAAACTTTTACCCATCAGGTTCCACATCCTGGTACCCGGTAAGCAATCAAGCACAGCACAGCAGCATTGTTACAGAAGCAAGAAAAAGTGGTTATAGCAGGAGCACATAGAGCAAACAGTCATCTTTAACATATCCCTTTAGGACCCTAGAACATTGTTCCTGTTTGCAGTCCGTGCTGGATTTCCCGGCCCTTGGGAGAAGTTCAGTGTACTTATGGAACGACATAGTTAAACCAGCTTAAAACTAAATTTCTAAAAAACTTCTTGTTCCTCCTTTTCAATCTCCCCTTTACAAGTAGGGTCCTACATAAAAGGTAAGACACTTTTGGTGGGAAGTGTTTGACCACCATTTGTCACAATAAGCTAGAAGGGAGGCATGTGGGCAGGAAGAAAACATGACTTCCCAGGAATTCAGAACTAAACCATTGGTTGACATGAAAGGCCTGAGAGAAAGCTCAGCAGGCTGGACACTTGTCTTATATGTAAGAGGCTGTGGTTCAATCGCTGGCCCCATGTATTTCCCCGAGAACTGCCAGGAGTCATTCCTGACTAACCCCTTAGCATTGCTTAAGGGGATAGTCAGGCTAATTTCAAAAAATTTAAAAATCAACTTGCAGAGGCTATAGAAAACAGATACTAATTAAAAAATGAAATGGCCAACTAAAAACACAATCTGCTCTAGCTTCAATTTTAGCTTTAGAGGGGGTAGTTTGGGTGGGTGCCACATGCTGTCCCTTGGAAGGCCTGTGCTGTCTCCGCACTGTACGGGACTCGGGAAACAGCTTAGCAGAGGCCCTGGACTTGATCCCCAACAAAGCAGGGCGGGGAGGGGGCAGAAGGGAAGGACTTGGAACGAGCACGTCTGCGTATGTCTAGGCCCCTAGTTTGATCTTAGTACGACATGCTCTCCCACCCAGTCTGCTCTGCTTGATGTAGCCCTGGCGGTCACTACTGGCCCGCCGTAGGGACTTTATCAGCCCCACACTTCTTGTGCAGTACTAGCTAGGGAGCTCCACGCCAACCACCCCCAAAATAAAGACTGGATAGTGCACGGGTTAAAATGGGTTAAGGCACTTGTCTTACGTATGTATGGCCTACCCCAGTGTGACTCCTGGCTAGAACGGTTCTATTCTAACATTGCTGTGATGCAGAACATGCCACAATCCCAGTACAGAGCAATGTCTGGTGGAGTAGCTATTCATTCAATGACCAAATGTCCCGTCTGCTCTTCTGCTGCCCAACAGAAACAAGTGAATGGCAGGGCTAGAGTGATAGTACAGTGAGGAGGGTGTTGGCCTTGCAGCTGCTCTGAGCTCCATGCTCTGTACCCCACGTCGTCCTTGAGCCCACCCGGAGTAATCCGTGAGTGCAGAGCTCCAGAGTTAGGCTTGCCTCCCAATTAAGGAATCAACATATGCATATTTGGTCAAAATTAGTAAACTTTATTTGAACTTCAAAAAATAAAATAACAGACAAAAGGCAGCATTAGCTTTGTTCTTCTCAAAGACCAGATGAAACAAACAAAAGCAGGAGCTACCTTAAGAAGTTAAAACATCTTTTACCCCCAAAATCAAGACACAGACAAAGGAGGAGACTCAATTTTGGGCCCGACCGTGGGTGAGAGGGGTAGGAAGGAGATCCCAAAGTCAGTTTCTGACAGAGCACAACTGGAAAACAAGGAAAGTCCTACTGGAAATGGGATCAGGACTTCAATGGGGAACTTTGTCACAAAGAACTATGTACAAGGGAGCTGGGCTGGGAGACTGTGCCCCAAGAAGGCGGAGAGCGCGGAGGCAAGAGGACTGCAATACCACTGAAGCTGCCCATCTCCCTAGCCAGCTGCTGCTGCCCCCTGCTCAGCCTCAATTCTCCTCATCACTGTCATCCGGGCTGATGGCCGGGCTGGTGAGACTGTAAGTGGGGCTGGTGGGCGAGTAGCCAGGTGAAGTGGGCGAGTAAGTAGAGCCTTTGGGGGAGGTGGGAGAATAGGTGGGGCTAGTAGGCGAGTACTTGGGTGAGGTGGGGGAGTAAGTGGGGCTAGTAGGCGAGTACTTGGGGGACGTCGGGGTGTAAACTGGAGAGGTTGGGGAGTATGTAGGAGAGGTTGGGGAGTATTTTGGGGTGGTGGGTGAGTAAGTGGGGCTGGTAGGAGAGTACTTGGGAGAAGTAGGAGAGTACTTTGGGCTGGTCGGTGAGTACTTGGGAGAAGTTGGGGTATATTCTGGTGAGCTGGGACTGTAGGAAGGACTGGTCGGAGTATATTTCGGTGAGGTAGGACTGTAGCTGGGAGAGCTGGGGCTGTAGCTGGGAGAGCTCGGGGTATAGGTGGGAGACTGAGGTGTGTATCGTGGGCTTGAAGGGGAGTAACTTGGTGAAGTGGGAGAGTAGCTTGGTGAGGTGGGCGAGTAGCTGGGAGAAGTTGGGCTGTAGTTCGGACTCGTTGGTGTATAGTTGGGACTTGTGGGCGAGTAGCTAGGTGATGTTGGACTATAGCTGGGAGATGTTGGGGTGTAATTGGGACTGGTTGGAGAATAGTTAGGACTCGTGGGTGAGTAACTTGGGGAAGTTGGCGAGTAGCTCGGTGATGTTGGTGAATAGCTCGGAGACGTTGGCGAGTAGCTTGGTGATGTTGGTGAATAGCTTGGAGAGGTTGGGGAATAGCTGGGAGAAGTTGGAGAGTAACTTGGAGAAGTTGGGGAGTAGCTGGGAGAAGTTGGAGAGTAGCTAGGTGATGTGGGCGAGTAGCTTGGAGAAGTTGGGGAGTAGCTGGGAGAAGTAGGAGAGTAACTTGGAGAAGTTGGGGAGTAGCTGGGAGAGGTCGGCGAGTAGCTGGGAGAGGTCGGTGAGTAGCTCGGAGATGTGGGGCTGTAGTTGGGGCTGGTTGGAGAATAGGATGGAGAAGTAGGGGAGTAAGAAGGTGAAGTAGGGGAGTACGAGGGACTCTGGGGTGTATAGCCCCCAGGTGAACGAGGTTCGTAGGCAGGTGACGTTGGTGAGTAGCTGGGAGACATTGCACCACCTGTGGGAAAGAATCAAAAGGAGTTAAGTGATGGAGAGACTCGTGTACAAGGTATGAATCTGGTCCACAGAGAGGGAGCTCACCTGGTGATGGGATGTACGGGCTTGAGGGCCCCGGGGAGCCTGGGGAGCCTGGGGTAGGAGACCAGGCAGGAGAATAGCCTGGACTGAAACCACTGGCATCTGAAGCAGCGCTGGGAGAGAAGCCAGCTGCGCCTGGGGTCATTCCACTTCCTGCAGAGAGCAACACGTGTTCAGGTAAGTGCCGGAACCCAATCTGACACCTTGTCCGGAGCCCCAGTGACTCAAATTCCAATGACTCTCCTTTCTGAGCCCTGCTCACAAACCTCACTCACTCACCTACACTGGGAGACCAGGAACAATAGGCTGGGGTTGCACCCTGGTTCCAGGGAGTCATGGCTGGAGAAATTCCTCCCATGGGACTGGGTGCTGAGCCAAAGAACATGCCAGTGGCTGCAAAGGGAACAATGACACATGAGGAACGGCACTTGAGGACTGAGCCTCCTCCCACCCTGCAGAGCCGACCAAGGCCCCTCATACTCACGTCCAGCAGCGCCCAAGCCAGGGATATTCGTGGGGATTTCCATGCCATACTTGCACTTCTCGGCATCAAGCAGGAGGTCAAAACAGCCAGTGCCAGCTGGAGCTAGCTGGCCCAGCATGATATTCTCAGACACTCCCTTCATGGGGTCACTCTCCCCGTGCGCGGCAGCTTCCATAAGCACATCCACCTGAATAACCAGAGAGCAAGATCGGCCCTCTAAACACAGTGCTCCAGCATGGTTTCCCTCAATCACCCACCCACAAGGGAAGGAAGCACCAAACCAATGTCCGAAAAAATTGACTCTGGCAATGCCTCTGCTTCTTTTCTCTCCTTCCACCCAAGTGATGCTATTACCGTTTCCTCAAAGGAGCATTTCATGAGCGGGCCAGTGTCCTGTCGGTTAACTCCATGTCTGGTGATGGCCATCAAGTGGCCTCGACAGGTCATGGTATCACACAAGAGCGCCAAATGTCGGTAATTGACGTAGGAACCGTCAAAGGAGATGACATGGTACAGCTCCCGCTCCAGTGCCTTTCGCACAGCTTCAATGCCCAGCACCTGGCATGGGAGTAAGGGATAAAGGGTCACCTCCCAGTTTCCACCACCACCATCCAGATCCACAGAGGACAGCCAGGTGCCACTGAAGCCCAGAATTAAAAGGAGATTCAGGCATAAAAAAATCTGGCAGAAAGCAAGGACAGGGGATAAGGTGCTTGCCATGCATGCAGCCAAGCACAGTTCAATCCCCGGCACCACACACAGTCCTCTGGGTCCTCCAAACACCGCCAGGAGCAGCACCGGGCGTGGCCCCAAAGCTAAAATTAACATCTGGCCAATGAATACCTGAGTGGATAGTTCAGAATGCACCTGGGATCAAGAGTGTTCAGGGATCAGGGTGCTGGGCTCAAGCAAGAGGGATGCAGGGAAGAGGACAGTGGGGACTTGGGTGCACACCGTGAATATCTCCACAATGTCATTGGATGTGGTGCGAACGGGGTCCACATCCTTCTCACTCAGCACCCGCATCAGGCTCACACCATCCGTCTCCAGGATCCACTCCTGCAGGGCCTTGAACTCCCCATCCTCTGTGATGATGATCTTCTTCTTGTTGTCTGTTTGTGGCAAGTGCATGTACACCTGAGAGGGAAGAGAGTACATGCATAAGTGGGCTACACGGGGGGAGAGGGAGGATGAACTAGTGTGGGTGTGGGTGTGGAAGGGAAAGGGTGGCTGACCTTACTGATCTGCTCAATGCCCTGCAGGGTCATATCTGTCAGCATGTTGGACTCAATGCAGCGCAAGAAAACATCATCATCCATCTTGTCCACCACTTCTTCCTCCTGCCAACATCAGTAAAGTGAACCTTCTTAGAACCTGATGACGCTTTTTACCCCTTTTCTCTCTTTTTTTCTTGTCTTTCCCAGATGCTGAGGGGTTATACCTAGCCTCAATGCTCCTTGAGAGCTACCTCTGGGCCCCAGAATCTGCCTTTTCCCTTGTTCTCATTTAGGTCCCCAGACTCCACCCTCTTGAGTACCAGTGTGATTTACTTTTGGTGGGGGGGTGAAGGTGAGAGGAGGGAGAGGGAGAGAGAGTGGATATGAGGCTTGGGAGACTCCAGATGTCCTCACGGATGAATCTGGCTCCTGCTCAAGGATCATTCCTGCTGGTGCTCAGGGGAACATATGTAGTGCCAGGGATCAAACTGGGGCCAGCCACATGTAAGTCACGTACTTAACCACAGTACTCTCTCTCCAGCTCCCTAAACAACTTAATTTTTAGAAGACAAGCTCAACAATGGATAACTGGTACAATATTTTGTTCAGTCTTGTACCCACTGTCGCCTAAGTTCCTTAGGACATAGGAACTCCTACTAAATAATCTTCCCAAATTCTGCCCCTTGCAGGAGGATTAGAGAACCAAGTGACAGAGCTATAAGGTTATACACGAATGTTAATTTGCTTTATCTATTACGTATAGCTATTACTTCAGATTTCCAAAGATTTCTACTGTTTACCTGTCTTGAAAATCAATGTATGGTAAGACCAGCACCTCAACAATGTTTTCATTTTAACTCTTTTGGTCATGAACAGAATTTTGTTTTTGGGCCACACCAGGGGTTACTCCTGCTTCGCATTCAAGAATTACTCCTGGCAGTGCTTGGGGGACCATATGGGATGCTGGGGACTGAACCCAGGTCGGCTATGTGTAAGGCAAACACCCTACCCACCGTACTACGGCTCTGCCCCCTCATGAATTTAATGACTTAATGATTTTCTATATCTGACTTAATTTCTTGTTGGGTCCCCTTTACCTCTTGCATCTTGTTTTCATCACTATTCATGATGCGAATTCGGAGAACCAATTTCTCTGCATTGTCGTCATTAAAGATACAATTCAAATCATCACCAAAACCTGGTAGAGAGGAAGCATGAGAAAGCTTACACCTATGGTAATGGTTCTTTAGCCACTGGTCCAAGGACTGGTGTTGGAAGAGGTGCCACCAGTCCTCGCATATGAAAAGGTTAAAAACTCCCACCAATATTCCCTGCACCTCTCTCTCCTTATAGGGTGCTCTTTTGGATTCCCCCTTCTCATGGAATTCTTTCTATGAAGTGGGAAAGGAAACACTGAGAAGAAAAAAGAAATGGGAGGATGACTGGAGAGATGCAATGAAGGTGAACTAGAACAAGGACGAGGGTGAGGGTGGGCTGCCCACAGGGCACTAGGTTACAGTTCAGACAGGGGGCCCAGGGCTTCTAAGCAAGATCTGCCACCCTCAGCCTCACCAGCATTGATCTTTTCAGCAATCTGCTCCATGGTCAACTTCCGGTCAGTCATGTGCTTCCGGTCCAGCTCCACCCGCAAAAGCCAAGGCGAGATTCGAGCCACATCAAAGTCAGGCATCTCATAGTAGACATTCACCCATTCCTGATCCTCTGCGACCACTGTGCTCTGGGGGTTAGGGTCATAGTAGATGGCTGTGTTGGCAGTCACCTTCCTCAATGTAGTATGTTCCAGACGGCAGAGAATGTCCTATGGAGAAAGGAATCTTATAACACAAGCAAGGGGGTGGGCTTCAAAGATCTCCTGGAAACTCCTGTACAAGGATCCAAATTTATTTTTTGTTTTGGGGCTATTCCTAATGCTAACTGGGGACGACAACTGGCTTGGTGCTTAGTAGCAGTTCTGGGCAGTGCTAGAGGGACTATGACATGAATCCAATCCACTGCGCAATAACTGGCCTAGAATCTTAAGTTCTTACTCAAAGGAAGAAGTTTCCTTTCCTTTTCCTTTCCCTCCTATCACCCCAAGAACCCAATCACCCAATCTGTACCTTGGCTCTCTCAGCATCTCGAGCAGACTGGCCCAGCAGAAAGACAGTAAGGGAGGGGGTCTTCGGTTTCTTAGAAATATTAATGAGCTCCTTAAGCCGGGGCACTCCCAGCGTCACATTCTTGGCAGACACACCAGCATAGTGGAAGGTGTTCAGGGTCATCTGGGTGGCAGGTTCTCCAAGGGACTGTGCAGCCAGAGCTCCCACCATTTCCCCAGGGTGGGCCTATGGAATAAAAGCCAGCATCAGAAAAAGCCAAGCTGGGGCCAGAGACAGCACAGCAGTACCATTCTTGCCTTGCACGTGGCCAACCTGGGTTCGATCCCCAGCAACCCCTCTGATCTTCCACGAGTAAATCCTGAGTTAGAGTCAAGTAGCAACAACTGAACATCGCCAGGTGTGGCCCCCAAATCCAAAAATAAATGTGTGTCAAAGCTACAGGTTAATAATTTATTTCATAATAGTTTCACAAAAAGCATCTTCCCAAAGCATTATTTCTTATTGCTTTTAGGTTTGGGGGCCACACTCTGTGATGCTAAGAGGCTATTCCTAACTCTGCTCAGGGGTTCACTCCTGGTGGTGCTGGGAACCACTGGGTGCTAGCGAATCTAACCAGGGTAGGCGAGATGCATGGAAAACACCTTAGTACCTGTATAATCTTCCCGGCCCTACAAAGTATACACTGAAGTATACTATCTTTCCAGCTCTCCAAGCATTATTTCGACACACAACTCCATACTACAAAACTTAACTTTTTATTTGGAATCCTATGGTATGTGGCCTTTCAAACTGATTCCTTTCACTTAAAATATATCAAGGTTCATAACTGTCTTTTGCTTTGTTGTCACTTCCCTTCTTTGTACAGACTGATGGTTCATTACTTTTTAATCATTGAATAGACCCTTGTATGCATAACTGTTTATTCATCCATCAATAAATGGACACAAATCATTTTCACTGTTTAGCTATTGTAAATAATGCTGCTGTGAAAACGAGTGCAGGATTTCTGTGTGGTGTGAGGTGCTCAGGCAACTATCTGGTACCAAGGATAAGCACTCAAGGTCTTGGACACACAAAATATGCACTCCACTCCCCACTGAGAGCTCTCTCCCAAGCCCCAGAAATATCTAATTTTGATGAAATAAGATTCATTTATTTTTGTGCCATACCAAAGAGCCCACTCCCTAATTCAATGTTACGAAGAGTTACCTGTGTTTTCTTCTGTTAAAAAATTGTACAATTTTGGTTTGGTTTTTGGTGGGGTAGGAGGAGATGCTCCTGGAAGTGCTCATGTGGGAAAAGCAATCAAACTGGAGTTGGTCCCATGCAAGGTAAGCCACTTAATCTCTGAACTAGCTCTCCAGCCCCATAACAGGCTTTTATTTATTTATTGATTTTTTTGCTTTTTGGGTCACACCCGGCGGTGCTCAGGGGTTACTCCTGGCTTTGCATTCAGGAATCACTCCTGGCAGTGCCTGGGGGACCATATGGGATGCTGGGAATCGAACCCGGGTCGGCTGCGTGCAAGGCAAAACGCCCTACCTGCTGTGCTATTGCTCCAGCCCCCCATAACAGGCATTTTAAGAAAATAAAGAACAAAAGAACACAAAAAGAAAGGAGGAAGGAAGGAATTACAGGCGGATGGACACTCGAATTTCACACCCCATCCAGGCCACTAATTTCCTGTGTCACTGTCATAGAACAGTCACATCATTTCATTAAGGCCACACTTTTTTATTTGTAACGTAGATTAACAACCCCTCTATCGTGGGTCCTAAGAAAACCCCCAAACACACAGTTGGTACACAGCCTCTGATGAGAGATACTGCAAGACGGCTGTGGACAGAGGTAGGCTGCTGTCAGTGCCTAGAGAAGTAACAGGAAATAAACTGAAGTGAGCAGCACAATATACTCACAATGGCTTGGTTGAACTTGGACTCGATCTCACCCAGCAGCCAGTCGAAGGCCTCTCCACTGAGCCGAAACTCCTCAGCCATACGGCGGGAGCATAGTGTGGACCGCAGGTGGATGTTGAAGAGAAGTGTAGCATTCTCCTGCGCCTGCCGGCTCAGCGGGTCATCCCCATTCACAATCACCAGCTTCTTGCTCAATTCTTTGACTCCTACGAGCCGGAGGGGTGAAGAAATTGAAACACCATGGCCCAACAAACTACGATCCCCATCCTGACCCTGATGCCTCGAAGCAAGCGCACACCTTCTACCACCTTGATGGGATGCAGGTCAGAGGGGAGGCGAGGGTTGATGTGAAAGATTTTCTGAGCATTCCAGATCATGCGCAGCAGGTTACAGGGGAGGACGACCTAGGAAAGAGGGAAGGCAGGATCACCAGCCTGGCCACACCAGCAGCAGCAGCCTTCTCCAGCCCAGCCACCCCCCTGCACACACCTTGCTGTCACCAGTTGGGAAGATGACCCTGAGCACCTCCCGATCCTCGCGCATCCGTTCAAATTCTCTTTCCAGCTCATTCTGAATGTGTGCATTGCTCAGCACATCCTTCACCAGATCCTCCTGCAGAGTGCGGCGGAGGGCTCTCTCGTTAGTGTAATCAAAGCGGAACCTGCGGATGAAACGGATGGAATCAAATGGCAAGTTATGGAGCCTGATTCCCCCAAGAATGGGTCTCGACACACCCCAAGGCACGAAGCCCTCGGGGAGGGGACTGTGGAGGCAAGAATCCTAGCAGGGAAGTGTTCAGGGAGGCCCAATGAGCTTCAGTAAGCTTGCACCAGCTGGGCTGCTCTACGACACCACCAGGAACAAAGTTGGGGTGGAATCCTCCATTTCCCACAGTGCAGAGGCTTCAGAGTGATGGAGAAAGAGCTTCAAAAGGCACGGTCCATTGCAAGACAGCATCCCAGACTGTCTTGGGTGAAAGGGTGGAAGACGGGGGTAGGACTCTAACTATTGGGCCCTGACCCCAGGTATGAGAACCTTCCACTTTCCACTTGCTCACTTTTTCTCAAAAGCCTTATTGGAAGGCTTCAGGGTAGCCAGATTCTGGAACTCAACGCTCTCGCCTGCCAGTCCATCCTCGCCATAGCGTAGCTGTACCACCTGGTTGATGGAGTTGCGCACTGTTGCATCATACTTCACCATCACAGACTCCATGGATTTGATCAATCGCCGCTGGATGTAACCTGGGGAAGGTAATCAGCAGTGGGACCCATGGCCAGAAGAGGAGACAATGACCAAATAATTCTCCCTATCTTAGGATAAGCCCCACGGGTCGCTCAGGAACCCAATCTTGGTCCTCAGCAGAATCAGCAACTAGCTTCTTCATTCTCATCGAGGCCTTTCAATGACAGCCATGTTCATCTCCAGATGAACGAGGGCCCAGCAAAGTCTCAGAACAAGGTCATTCACCTAACTCTTAAATTATCAGTCTCCTACTTTCCACTTAAAGTCAAATTTACAGCCCTCAATCCCAGGATGTGTCTCAGCAGATCACAGTCCTCAAACCTATAAGGTTCTGGTTTAATCCTGAATTCACGAACACAAAATTACCCAGAAATCTCAAGTATCTGAGCCCCCCTGCCTCCCATCCCCATTATCTCCCAGGGCTTCTTAGCCTGAATAACTCCCCAGTACCAGGCTTTATGGTCATTTTGTAATGACCTTGAATTTGAAGGCCTCACCAGTCTCAGCAGTCTTGACAGCTGTGTCAATGAGCCCCTCACGACCCCCCATGGCATGGAAGAAGAACTCAGTGGGTGTGAGGCCAGCCAAGTAAGAGTTTTCCACAAAGCCACGGCTCTCAGGCCCATAATCATCTTTAATAAAATGGGGCAGAGTCCTGTGCTTGAATCCAAATGGGATCCGCTTGCCCTCCACGTTCTGCTGCCCGACAACAGCAATGACCTGGGAAAGTGAAAAATGTGGTATACTTAACACTCTGTATTAAGAGTTCCTGGGGCTGGAGTGACAGCACAGCGGGTAGGGCATTTGCCTTGCACGCGGCTGACTCGAAGTTCCCAGCAACCCATATGGTTCCCCAAGCACCGCCAGGAGTAATTCCTGAGTGCAGAGCCAGGAGGAACCCCCTGAGCATCGCCGGGTGTGACCCAAAAAGCCCCCCCACCCCCCAAAAAAGATTAAGAGTTCCTATATTTTTCTCTGGAGAATCGCGCATTCCCCTCAAAATCAGTATTTTCCCTCAATGAAACTACTTTACTTAGACCCAAGAGATAGTTCAACAGGCAAGACCATATATTTTGATGCAAACTTCTTGAGTTCAATCCCTGGCACTGTGTATTTCTCAGGGCATTGCCAAGCACTGAGTCCATAAGGACCAGAAGGCATAGCCCCCCCCAAAAAATAAAAAAGATTTTACTTCAAAAGGGAAAAGAAAAAGGTGCCAGTATTTTATGCCCAACTGCCACCCATCTGTGTACCCTGCCACAACCTCTACCTCCACCCTTCCCTCCCAACCTGGAGGCCGCACATCTGAAAAGACAAGGCTCCACACCTGAGAGATGTTGATCTTGGAACCTTTGGCGCCAGATACCACCATAGATTTAAAGTTGTTGTACTCAGACAGGGATTTCTGGGCAGAGGAACCAGTCTTGTCTCGAGCATCGTTGAGAATGCGATTCACCTGATTCTCAAAAGTCTGCCGCAGAGTGTTCCCTGGGGTCGGCTCCAGCTCATTGTTATGCGCCTTCTCAATGACCTAGGTACACCAGAGATACAGATTTCAATGAAACGTCCTTTTTCTGTTGTCCTTCCTTTTATATTCCCTTGGGTTTTACTGAGTCTGAGATTAGCTCAGGATCAGACTTAGTAATAAACTGCATATCTTACATCGCATGAGACCTGGGGAGGGGGGCAGGAGGAGAAGAGGGAGAGAAAGGGTGAGGAAGCAAGAGGAGAGAGAGAGAGGAGAGGAGAGAAAAAGGGGGGGAAGGGAGGGAAGGAAGGAGGGGTGGGAGAGACAGAGACAGACAGACAGACAGATCCCATTCAGAATAGCACAGCAGATGGCCTACACTGGGTTCTATCCCCAGCACCCCATGTGGTCCACCAAGTTCCACCAGGAATGATCCCCGATGGGTTGGAGCAATAGCACAGAGGGGAGGGCGTTTGCCTTGCATACAGCCGACCTGGGTTCAATTTCCAGCATCCCATGTGGTCCCCTGAGCACCACCAGGAGTAATTCCTGAGTGCAGAGCCAGGAGTAACCCCTGAGCATTGCTGGATGTGGCCCAAAAAGAAAAAAAAAATTCTCTTTGGGCTGGGGGAATGATCCCTGAGCACGTAGCCAGGAGTCAGCTCTGAGCTCTGCTGGGTGTGCTACCCTCCCTCCCACTCCCCAAAAAAAGAAAGAGGGAGAGAGGAGAGAAAGAAGAAAAGTCCTAGAAAAATCATTCAATTTTTCCCATTTCCCCTCTCACCTCTATTACATCCTGTTTGGCCTTCTTAATAGTGTTCTGAATGTCCTGGTAAGTCTTAGAATCAGCAATAGAGTCCCCAATACCAATGGTATGACCTAGAGATAATGAAAAGTAAATTTATCTCTTTGAACATCCAAGAAACAAAAGATAAAATCACAATCAAGTGAGCTAATGAGGCCCAACAGATAGTACAGCCGGTATGGCCACGCAGCTTACGAGAATTCGATACCTGGCACCCCATATCATACCCCAAGCCTGCCAGGAGTGATCCCTAAGTGCAGAGCTAGGTGTAAGCCTTGAGCACTGCTCGGTGTAGACCAAAAACTAAACCCAAAACAAACAAACAAACAAACAAAAAGAACACGGAATTGAAAAAGGGATGGAAGAGCAGTAAATGGGACTTAGAAAGGATCTGGCAGAACCCCTATACTTACCTTCGATGAGGAGCCAGTTGTTAATGACAGTTTGAATGTTAGAGTAGAAGAGGCGAGTGATGTCATGACCCATCTCCAGGTAGGAGATGTGGACCAGGGAGCCAGCTGATGTGCCCAGAGACTTTTTACACAGGATGCCCATGATCAACTCTCCATTCTCCACTACCACCTGCAGACAAAGGTCCAGTTAAGGCCCCTGGCAGTTCAGGTTCCCCTATTCAAATGCTATTCCCCCAGTTCCAAAACCCGAGACCTACTTTGGTGTCCCCAGGAGATATGTGTTTGTAAGGGCCACTGTCCTCATCATCAGGATGGGTGCTGTGGGTGCGGATACAGTTGATGTGGCCCGGTATGATGAGGGAGAAGATCTGTTTGCCCGTCCATAAGGGTCGAGGTTTCAGGATGGCTGGTTGTGGGACCTTCCCATCCCATGTGGACAGGAACATTAGGAGGTTCATCACTTCACCCTGTTGAGAATTAGAATCTGCAAATCTCATCTCCTGGAAAGGGGAGGGCTGACCTACAAGATGATGCCAGGAAAAGCAGCTACCAACTTTTTTTTTTTTGGGGGGGGGGTGGCGGACCACACCCAGTGGTGCTCATGGGTTGCTCCTAGCTCTGCACTCAGGAATTACTCCTGGCGGAGCTTAGGGGACCATATAGGATGCTGGGGTTCAAACCTGGGCCCATCATTTGCAAGGCAAATGTCCCATCCACTGTACTATCGCTCTGGCCCTGCCTACACCTATCAGCTTATAAATTTTTTACAAAGTCATGGTGCAGAGGCTGGAGCAATAGCACAGAGGCTAGGGCACTTGCCTTGCATGTGGTTCAATAGGGTTTGATCCCAGGCACCGCCTACAGGTTCCCCACCACCAGCCCACCAGGCGTAAGCCCTGAGCACTGTCAGGTGTGACCCCGACAAAAACAAACAATACTAAAGTTATGCTGCAGCCAGATAGCTCAGAAAGCTGGAGTGCATGCTTTGCACGCAGGAAGTTCAGGTCGCTTCCAACACCGCAGGCTCTCTGAGCACTACCAGGTGTGGCCAACTGGAAAACCACAAAGCAAATCAAACCAAAATTCACTGTCATAGTTAAGAAAACTTAGTTTTCATCAGAAAAAGAGATTTTTGAAGGAGGATTACTCCATAGCTTAGTGGCCAGTCGGGCATTCTAGAGGAAAGGGCAGCTCAGATAGAGAAGGGAGCACCAAATAAAGGGTGTTTGGAGGATCCTCCCAGGAGGGGAGATGCATGTCGAAAGTAGACTATGGACTGAACGTGTTTGCCACTCAAAGCCTCTTTTGCAGACCACAACACCCAAAAGGAGAGCGAGAACACAGGGGATTGCCCTGCCACAGAGGCAGGGGGGATGGGGGATGGGGGTGGGGGGGATATTATCCATGGTGGTGGAAAATGGGCACTGATGGAGGGATGGGTATCTGATCATTGTATAATCAAACCCAAGCACAAAAAATGTAAATCTACAACTGTACCTCATGGTGTTTCACTAATAAAAAAAATTTAAAAAAAAAGAGATTTTTGAGTTTGTACAATCTTCCAAGTTATGCTCACTCTTCAAGCTCACGCTCTTCCTTGAACACGTCTCACTTGCTTATCTCAACATTTCTTTGCTGGCCTTTTCCACTCTGAAAAAGCCCATGTTCTCTCTTGAACAGTATTCCTCTTTCACTCTAAACATCCCAAAGAGAATTCTGTTCACTAAAAAGTACCTTACATCATAGACAACCACCACCAAGAGTCTTTCAAATTACCTTATCTAAATCACTTTTAAGAATTAGGAAATAACATGCAGGTATGAAATGAGACAAAACTGTGACAGGTCACTCCCTGCTCTCTGCTTCGTGTCTAGAAGTGCGTACCCGCTCCAGGAAGACGTCTCTCTTGGTGAATTTGCGCACTGCGGTGAGTGTGTCCTGCACGATGCCCATGACGGGGCGGTTGCTTTGGGGAGTGACGATCATGCGCGGGACCATGGCAAGTTCCTGGATCTCTGCCCGAGTCTCCAGAGACTGAGGCAGATGCAAATTCATTTCGTCTCCATCAAAATCAGCATTGTATGGAGTCGTCACACTGTAGTGAGAGCAAAAGCAGCCAGGAGAATGCCTTTTAAGAAAGTTCTGGGAACTGCCGGTCCCAGCACCTTCTTCCCTCCATCCAGACTGACCTCAGGTTCAAACGAAAAGTAGACCATGGTAAGATGCGAACCCGATGGCCCATCATGGACATTTTGTGCAAAGTTGGCTGCCGATTAAAGATAACAATGTCCCCGTCGCACATATGTCGTTCCACCTAAGGGAGTGAAGTGTGCAGAGTCTCAGTGATAGGGCAGAGGAACGAGTACATACAAAACATCTCACACATGAAAAAAGATGACCTTATAAGGTTATTTTATTCGAAACATTTGCTAATCATCCCCTCTTTTGAGCCAGTCCCAAGGCTAAATACCAAGTTACGATTAAAACAGCACCCACAAACGTCCAAGATCTCAGTTCATGGAGAAAAATCAAGAAGCTGAATATGAAATGCTGTTCTCCGCTCACCCCTGGATCCCTCTTGCCCCTGGGTTACGTAATTGTGCCCTAAATGCCAATGTCTGGCAGGTAAAAGCACATCTAGGACAGTAAGGATAGGACGTGGCTCACAGGGGTCACTGGAACACACTTTCAATCCTCAGCACCACTGAGAGCAAACATCGAACCAAGGATCACTCAATGGCACTAGGACTCCCTGAGCACTGGCTGGGGATCCCCTTTTAGTCACCCAAGAAAACAGTCCTTAAGTACCAATAAGCATGGCAAGAGATAGCATACGAGCTACTTGAAAGAGATCTGGCTTTGATATCCAGCACCACACGGTTTCCTAACATTGGACCATGGGCAGCTCTGAGCTCCACCAGGCATCGCCCAGAACTTCCCTGCCCCTCCAAGAAGAGTCAACAAATCTGAATCCCAACCACAGGGCAGCCTCGATGACTCATTCCAGAGGGCCATAACCCTCCACCTGTTCCAATTCCACAGAGTGCTGCGCCGGTGAGTCAGAGAGGCCCTGGCTTTGTTACGTGCCTTGTAGCCAGTCTGCAGGTGAAGGTCACTGGGCTTGGGGTGGAAACGCAGGTCAATGCGATCACCATTGTCTCGAATGATGTACTTGGCCCCTGGGTACTGGCTGTTACCCCTGCGCACGAGTTCCTGAAGTCTAAGAATGAGAGAGATACAATGAATAAAAGCGCCTCCGTCACCAACACCCCAAAGTCCCAAGTGGAAGCCCAAACTTCTAAGATTCAACGTTCTTTCCTCACTAATTCCCCTCAAGTTTTTCTTGCCACTCCAGGCAGGACTTCTGAACCAAAGCACACCTGTCAATGTTGAAGGGGGTGACAATCTCCGCAAAGGTCATGTTGGCGGCAATGGAGCGAGGTACGCCAACCTGGTCAATGGAGAGGTTGGGGTCGGGGGTGATGACGGTACGGGCAGAAAAGTCCACTCGCTTGCCCATCAGGTTCCCGCGCACTCGGCCCTCTTTGCCTTTTAATCGCTGCTTCAGGGACTTGAGGGGACGACCAGACTTCTGCATGGCCTGTGAGGAAACAGGGAGGTAAACACCCCAGTAGTCAGCACTGGCTTCTCCTCCAGAGACTAAAAGGCACATGCTGCCCTCTCCCAGGGCCTAGGCAGTGTGCTAACTCACACGGGGGAGGCCAGGCAGTTCATTGTCCACCATGGTGGCCACATGGAACTGGAGGAGTTTCACATCCTCAGCAATGACATGGGCCGCTGCACCATTCTGCTCATTGCGCCGAAGCTGATTGTTGATCTTCACGATGTCAGCCAGTTTGTGAGTCAAGTCATCCTGAGGCACAAAATGGGCAGTCAGTACCCAGCCACACTGAATGTGCATATGCCAACACGGCAATCTCTCACCTTCACACTACCCACGCACACTGCAAGTTATCCCCCCACCTAAAGAGTTCCTTCCCTACAGACACACTGCCACCTAGCTGATAAGCAAGGTACTGCAGAGGGATGTAGCGCAACACGCCCTGCCAACGCCCGCCCCACCCCCCCAGCCCCGCGCCCCCAGGTAATGAAGACACTGACCTGGTTGCGAGCAGAGCCCTGCATCACCACGGCAGGCCGCACAGACAGTGGGGGCACAGGTAGCACTGTGACGATCATCCACTCGGGCCGGGCAAAGCGAGGCTCCATACCCAGTACAAAACACTCCTCATCTGAGATGCGTTTGAAGATTTCATGTACTCGCTCAGGGCTCAGCAAGATCTTCTTCTCTTGAGAGTCCTCGTTGACATGCTTCCACTCTGCATACAGTTCCAGACCAGAGCGCCGGATCCGGGGCTGATAGCGCCCACAGCCACCATGGCCCTTCCAAGGAGAGAGGGGTTCTCAGAGCACAGAGACATGGTTATCTCTCCCCCACACAGGGTTAGCTACTATGGTGTCCTTCAGTTCTGGTTCTTCCTCTTATTCTTCCCTCCCAGTACTCCCTCCCTTCCAACCTCCCTCCCCGTCCGACAGCACCAGCTACCTTTTCTTTGGTTAAATCCTCATCGCCTTCAGGCTGCTCCACGCCAAACTTGTTATCCATTTCCTCCCCACCCTCACAGATGTTTTTGCCCTTGCAAAGGTCATAGACATGGGTAAGTCGCTTCTTCGGCTGTCCCTTAGACTTGGCCAAAATGTCTTTGATCTTCGGATTATTCTGAGGACAAGAGCAGAGCAGAATCAGGCTTTTCTGTTCCTTAATAGCAGCCCTTCCCACGTGGCCATTCCTATCCCCACTTACAGAGTCCACGAGCAATTTAGAGCAGAAGAAACAGACACAGCGTAAAACTTTCATTGTCTTCACCAAGAAGCCCACATGGAATACAGGTTTGGCCAGCTCAATGTGGCCGAAGTGCCCAGGACACTCTGTCATATTTCCTGTGGGAACACACACATACTCTTCACTCAGCTCTCTGAAGTCTACTTCTCCAAGTGTCGACCCTTGGGCCTAGTTTTCTTACCTGGGGGGCTTAGGGGGTGCCATACCCAGTGGTAGCTAGGAACTCTACTACTGCTTTGTGCCCAGGGATCACTCCCAGCACCCCTCAGGTAGGCAGGGTTGTCAAACCGGGTTCAGTCGCATGCATGGTAAATGGTTTAACCCAGTCCTCCCTCTGTCTTTTCAGGATTCCATACCAGTACCCACAGCACTCACCTGCACACGTCTGGCAGCGACCAGTTCGCTCAATCACCCCTTGCCTTGGATCCATCAGGCCCCCAAGCTTGGGGCGGCCTCCCTCTGTAGTTTCTGGGTATTTGATACCACCCTCTGTCACTGACATTCGCTTCTGCACAAAAGAAAAGATAATACAATTAAACAGGATTTCTCTGTACTAAGGCCTTGAAGAATCCCAAATTACTAAACTAACTAGGATAATTTAGGATAACAAGGATAAATGTCAGTATTGCATACATGCTTCTGGAGATGCCAATGATGGGGATCATGTGTCAGAAGCTTGTTCCAGCCCATAAACAGTCTAGAGGAATACTCTAGAAGGAATACTCTAGAAGAGAGTACAGTAGACGCCAAGCTCCATAAAAACCACCTACTAGTATTAACGCTCAAGCTCCAGGCATCCTTTTAGGTTGAATTCTAAGTTACTAACCTAGATCTAGGTCACTAAAATTTAAGCAGAAAAAGAAGTTTCTCAAGGATTACAGTCTCAGTCCCCAACAGGAATCTCTCTGTCATATCATGACAGCTGGAAGTCCTGTCCTAAGACTGCCCTGCCAATTCTAACTTCAGCTACTAACTAGAGTCAGGTATTCCCTGCCCCCATCCTTGTCATCTACCTCCTCCTCTCCAAATGTTTGGTTAGCTGAACCCTATCATGTTCAGATGGAGAGTTTATGAAAGAGCAGCCATGGTCTACAGAGAGAGCTCAAAGGAACGTATATGTGGGGGTCCAGGAGTAGCTCCCCAGCACTGCATGGACCCCTCACTCCAGCACCAAGCTGGAATAGCTACTCATCATTTCTCTATGTAGTCCAAAAATTAGAAAACAGGGGAGTAATCGGGGAGTGAAGGGAAACACAGTGGAGAGAAGGGGAATGGGGCAAGATTAGAGAAATAACCAGATGCTAGAGTGGCCTAGAGTACATTATTTGGGAAAGTAGTGAGTCCTAATAACTCCTAAGGTAAAAACAGAACCAACAGTCAGATTTCTGAGAAAGGTAGAATCTGAACTCAACAGGAACAATTCAGTGAAGGCAAGGAGGAAAGAGCTCAGAAGCAGGTTTGAGTCAGGAAAGAGATTTCTGCCTAGAGGTTGCCAAAGACAATCTTTATTACTTTTTAATGAACTAAAAATCAAGAACTTTCAGGGGCTGGAGAGATAGCACAGCGGGTAGGGCGTGTGCCTTGCACGCGGCCAACCCGGGTTCGATTCCCAGCATCCCATATGGTCCCCTGAGCACCGCCAGGAGTAACTCCTGAGTGCAGAGCCAGGAGTAACACCTGTGTATCGCCAGGTGTGACCCAAAAAGAGAAAAAAAAAAATCAAGAACTTTTAGACTGGACTGGAGAAATAGTACAGTGAATAGGCGCTTGCCTTGTGGCTGACCCAGATTCAATCCCTGACATACGGTTCCCAAACACTGCCCCTGAGCAGAGCCAGGAACAGCCTCTGAGCAGCACAAGGTGTGACCTCCCCAGGTTACAAATGGAGAGGCCCAGGACTAAACAACTAGAAAATTACAAAATGGAGAGGCCCAAGACCATATAACTGGAAAGAGAAAGACAGGCCTTGGACCTGCCAGGTATGGTTCCAAAATAAAAACAAAAAATGGGAAGCAGAGATAATACACGAGTTTGCCTTTGCATGTAGTCAACCTGGATGCAATCCCCAATCATCTCACAAGGTTCCCTGAGCACCAACCGAGGAGTATACCCTGAGCACTGCCAGATATGGTCCAGAAACAATTAACAACCCAAAACAATCACAGTCATAAGGCTGAAGAGGTTCTGAATATTCATAATGCTCATCAAGAAGATCTGAAGAGCAGCCAGAGGGATAGTACAAGGGTTAAGTACCACCTGGTCCCACTGGAGAAGAGTGGGGAACAATCACTTTCCTCCAGCAAAGGGCTCATAGTTCTCCCTGAGCACCACCAGTATGACTTACCCCCTTACCTACCCAAATAAGAGGATCTGAAACAACTGCAGACAAGCCTTTATGTACTCTCAGGCCCTGGTAATCTGAATTTATTTTGGGGAGGTTGTTCTGGGTTCATGCCTAGCAGTGCTCCGGACTGAACTTGAGACTCTACACTCAGGCATCACTCTTGGTGAGGTTTGGGGGACTATATGAGGTGCCAGGGATCTAACCCAGGTCCACCACTTGCAAACAAACACCTTACCCTACTCTAATTCCAGCCCTGAAAATCTGAATTCCAATAAATCCCCCTAGTGTCCCTGGGATGAGGTTGTAGTGGTGTGTCCTGCACGGAAATAAAAGTTTGGCAGACTGCAATAAAGTGAGTGACTTTATTTACGATGCTGAAACCCCATTAGATATACAGTCTTGTGAGAAACGAAGAGATCTGCTCATCTTAAAATGAAAGCAGAAGCATAAATCTGGACGAAAGATAAGTCACGATAAACCTAAGGAAAATAACTCAGAATTTTTCAATTCCATCTTCTCAAAAAGTTCATCCCAAAGAGCAGATAAAGCTCACCCAACCATCCTCAGGTAACTCTACTGTCAGGCACTGAGACAGGGCCAGGGGTGACCCTGAAATATGCCATATGTGAACCAAAAATAACCTGCCCTCAACCCCCCAAAAGAATTTTCAATTACCAGGGGTCTGAGATATCATACTGTGGGTAAGATGCTTGCCATGTATGTGACTGACCTGTGGTCATCCCCAGTACTGCTAGGGGGAAATCCCAGAGCAGAGCCAGGAGGAAGCCCTGAGCATTGCCACGTGTGGTCCCAGCACAAAAAAAACAATTTAGATTTCCAGTGGGAGAATGAGTGATTCCCGCCTCCTCCCTTTGTACCTTTCAGATTTCTACCTTTCTCATAAATCTGACCGTTAGTTCTGTTTTTACCTTAAAAGTTATTAGGACTCACTACTTTCCCAAATAATGTACTCTAGGCCACTCTAGCATCTGGTTATTTCTCTAATCTTGCCCCATTCCCCTTCTCTCCACTGTGTTTCCCTTCACTCCCCGATTACTCCCCTGTTTTCTAATTTTTGGACCACATTAAAGGAGGCAGGAGGGCAAAACAGCTTGGAAACCTCTGTGGCTAAATGATCTCTAGTCATTAAGTTAATAAATTGTCATTTTCACCCCCAACTCCTCCAATTCAAACACTGGTTCTTTTTTTTGGGGGGGGGCGGTGGCGGGAAGGTGTTTTTAGAATCATCTCAGCCATGCTCAGGAGTTACTCTAGACTCTGCACTCAGGAATTACTCCTGGTAGTGCTCGGGGGGCCGTATGGGATGCTGGGGATTGAACCCGGGGGTCTGTGTGCAAGGCAAATGCCCTACCCATTGTACTATCACTCCAATTCCCGAACAGTGGTTCTGTGCTATATGACAAAGGTTCAATTCCTGAGGGGCAGCTAATCCCAGGGGGCACCCCAAAACAAAAACAAAACAGAAGCTGAGAACTACTGAGGGGTGAGGGGGCAGAGTGACCTTCAGAAGGATGCTTATCATGGGGTGGGGGGGTGTGGCAAGGGGAAGACAGGATTTGGGGAGGACACTGGGAAACGACGGAAGGAAGTGGGCATTCTGATGGAGCGTGGTGATGGAACATCTTACACATGAAATTCTACCATTAACAGTACTGTAATCACAGTACCTTAAATTGTGCAATAGCAGATAGGGCATTTGCCTTGCATGTAGTTGACCCAGGTTCAATCTCAAGCACCCACTATAGTTCCTGAGCACCACCAGAATTAATTCCTGAGCCCAGAGCCAAGAGTAACCCCTGAGTATCACTGGGTGTGGTTTATTTTAAATGAAACTGCACAAAGGTAGAGCGATAGCACAGCAGTAGGGCGTTTGCCTTGCATGCAGCCAGCCCAACAGAGCTGGGTTCGATTTCTTTACCCCTCTCGGGAGAGCCCAACAAGCTACCGAGAGTATATTCAATATGCCAAACACAGTAACAAGAAGTCTCACAATGGAGACGTTACTGGGCCCGCTCGAGCAAATCGATGAACAACGGGAGGACAGTGTGATGGTGGACAGTGTTACAAAGCATATAACTGCTCTAAATCTTTCTCGAATAAGTTGAGATATAAGTAAATTAATACTTTCCATAGTAGATAGCTGCTTTTAATGAATGGGGTCAACTCTTTCAAAGGTAATCAAATTGGAAGCTGAAGAAATAATACAGTGGGTAGGGTCCTTGCCTTGAATGTGGCCTACCTGGGTTCGTTTCCTGGCACCCCATGTTCCCCCCAAATCCCACAAGGAGTAAACCTTGACCACCACTGGGTATGGCCCAAAAACAGAACAAAACAAAACAAAACCAGATAATCGGACTAGAAGAATAGCACAGTGGGTAGACTGTTTGCCTTGCACTCAAACCAGGGTTTGATCCCTGGCAGCCATATGGTCCTCTAAGCCTACCAGTAGTGTTCCCTGAGCAGAGCCAGGAGTAACTCCTGAATTGAGCTGGGTGTGGCCCCCAAAACCAACCAACCAACAAAAAAACAAGTATCAAGTACCCACCTTCCCCAAGCATTGCATAAAGCTCTAACACCACTCTCCTTTCTTCTTTCCCCCAGATTGGTTTCGCCTATTTCAAATCTATTATTTTGGGGGTAGGGACCATGCCCAGCAGTGTTCAGGGTTTACTATGGCTCTTTGGTCAGGGATCACTCCTGGCAAGGTTCAGGAAACGACATGGAGGTTAGCGACTGAACCCAGGTCAGCCACATCAAGGCAAGTACTAAGTGCCACACCCACTGTACTATGGCTCTAACCCCTACAGCTCTATCTTGTCACTGTCACTGTCCTCCCATTGTTCATCGATTTGCTCGAGCAGGCCCAGTAACGTCTCCATTGTGACAATTGTTACTGTGTTTGGCATATCGAATATGTTACGGGTAGCATGCCAGGCTCTCTGAGGGGGCGGAAGAACCGAACTCGGGTTGGCTATGTTGGCTGCTTGCAAGGCAAACACCCTACCCGCTGTGCTATCACTCCAGCCCACTGGAAAATATTTTACCCTTAAATACTACCGGATCTACAAGCCCCTTTCCCACCTATCTTCTTTTTCAAATTGAACTACCTGTCATTTACTCAAAGTACAAGCACACTATGAACT